ATGAAGTAGCAACAAAAGTAATTTTATGGTTGGGGTGGGGGTGGGGGGGCGCTCACCACAACACGAGGAACTGTATGAAAGGGTTGAGGCATTAGGAAGGTCGAGAACCACTGCTCTAAAGCATTCACTACCATTGAGTTTGCAGGGACTCGCATTGACCCTGCAGAACAGAGAGCTGCCCTTGTGGATTTCCGAGACTGTTGCTCTCTGAAGGAGTAGAAAGCCTCGTTATGCTTTTCTCTTCCTCCTGCGGAGTCACTGGTTTCAAACCGCTGACGGTGCTCACTGCCTTCTTCTAGTCCACTGACTCGGCTCTCTGCTCGCTGTGACTTCTATGTTCCTTGGTTCTTTTTACACTTTTTCTTACACAGCTTTCTAATCTTTTCTAGCTGTCAAAGTTTTCATATGTGACCAGGCTTCACTGGGCGTTTGCTTTCTCAAGGCAGTCTCCTGGTAGCAGTTAAATCTCATGTGCTTAGTTCCTAATGAAAAGAGATGGGATATTTTCTTACCATCCAGGCCCGGGATCTGATTCGCTCTGGGAGGCGTCAGAAGTAAAAGCCAGGGTGTCTCCTGGTGCTACCGCGTTCTTCTCAAAACTGTGTAAACCACGTGGGTGCGGATAGTATGCTATGTTACCTTGTTCTGTTCACACAGAGAACATGCTACTCATTCATCCAAGGAAAAATCGCTTTGGAATGAGCTCTCTTGTTTCTTTTATTCTAATACATATTAATGTAGCAAAGTACTTACAATTGTTAGGAGCCATGCATTAAAATAAGTAAAGTTGTTTCTTAATTGTTTTATCCCTGAATATGAAACTCAATAAAGGCTTTGGGGTATCCTCCAGGTTTTCCCACATTTACCAAACATAAACTACATGCCCATGTTGTATGGAAATCAGTGCCAGATGATGGGCATGCAAAAATAAAGTCCCACAATTGTCCTAAAGAAACATGGAGTCTGGGAAGAAGTAATGCTTATGGGAAATGAAAACATGACAAGCAATATATTAGCCACCAAGTTAAGATCAATAAGT